TTCCAGAACTAATTTTGTGGTGCACAGGACCACTTTGCACAAACGTTAGAAATATTTTTCTAACAATTTTTCTTCTTCCATCTCATTCCCTTTAAATCTGGACAGCCTACCCCATCTTGCCATATACCAGCTCTCACCTGTGGCTATTATTCAGTTCAGGAGTTTAAGGGAGCCTTGTGAGCCTTCTGCAGCGTGCGTTAGTCTCTGTTCTTGACCAAAGAAGCATTTTAAAATATGTTCTCAAGTTAACTAGAATGCTACTAAAACCAAATGTGACTGAGGTCTATCAGCAAGATCACCGTGCCAGAAACAGCTCTCCCAAGTTACTCTCATAAATGGAAAAGAAGAACAGAAGAATGTTTTTCATGTAACTGTGCATTTATATTAATAGCATAGAGCTTGACCCCCAACTCAAACTGGGGTAAGGGTAAAGGTAATTTTTTTTGTCCATTTATTTTGCAAAAATGAGCACACAACTAAATTTAGTTGGCTTTCTTTCTGGAAACCACCCAGTCCAATTATGTTTAAAAAAAAAAAAAGTTCTTTCTGCTTCTTTGGCTCTGTCATGGTCTTTCAGTTTTTCAGGACCCCAGTACGTTCATTGCTACTGAAAAGTAGGACTAACTGGAAACGCAGATCTTGTTCTTCTAGACTGTGTCACAGTCAGGAATACTCTATTTACTCTTTCTGTGTGTGTCAGGAAAAATCAGTATTCCTGGGTGTCTTGTTGGGGTTGTTTTTTTCCAGGCAAGGGTCTCTAACAACAGGATCATCTTGTGTTCCTCAGGTTAGTCAGAATTCACCCCACCTAAACTAAGCTCATCAACACTTTCTGCAGCTTGCAGGAGAAAGTTTTCACATGTCCTTCACCATATATGGTCTCCCTGACTCCTGCCCTGTGTGTTGCACATGTACATATTCTTCTACAGTAATCTCATCGTTTTTCTGCAACACTGTTAAATTTTCCCAGGTAATGCCTTTCATAACCTTTTTCCAGTTGCAGTGCTTACCTGCTGCTTGTTCTGTCCTTCAGAACGGATCTCCTGCTCTCCTCGGGATGCCGTTTTTGGAGTGCTCATTCCTTTAAGTGCCTCAGCAGGGAAGCTTTTATGTTCTGAAATATCGTATAGTTCTGAAGATCACGCTCATGATGGACAGTGTTTTACATGTAAATAACCAAGGCATACCTATGGAATCTTCATAGAATGCAATGATTTACAACATCTGAAACACTGAAAGCACCGCACACCACCACGGATTTGGAACCTGTGGAAGGAAACCTCAAAGAAAAGGAAGATGAGAAAGATATAAAAGTAGTTGGTTACCGATGTGCCCTGTGAAGAGACGGCATTGAGCTTCAGGCTACTTTTAATAGGTCATTCATGATAGGCAATACAAACCTAGTTACCTGTTGGAAAAGTTCTTCACAAACATAAAAACAAATTTTTATTTAGGCTCCTTATTATTGTCACTTACAGATACACAAAGTGGAGTTCAGCCCAGTATTAAAACTCCAGTCATTTACCTGTGTGATTCCTTTAATACTTGAGATTTTTGCCTTTCCTGTCAGGCGAAGCACAGGGCACAGACACATCTCTAAGAGTTGTGACACCTTCGTACAGGGGAGTAGTTTCCAGTTCTGCAGCCTGCTATATTTTATGTCCCCAGAAAATATGTATTTTGAATATAGGTATAGTTCTGTCTTTTTTTGGCAGTACATGGTGTTCTTGTATAATATAACTGACTGTCTCAGTCTTCCTCAAAGGCTTACAAAACTGGGCGGGGGGGGAAATGTTCAGATTTTAGTGAATGCAATTGTGAAATTTTCCTTTTACAGTATACTTCTTCAGTCCTTCACTTAGTTTCTCAAGTGTGTATTTTGTTGAACTCCTTCTGAAGTGACCAATATGGGCATTTATGGGGTGGTATTTAATTTTTTAATAAAAGTATGCAAGTTAACTAAAAGCTACTGGTAGCAAAACCTCTGTAATTAGACAGTAATACCAGATGTATCCTTTTAGACAGTGGATGTGGATGAAGTTGCAGTTTTCTATAATTTAAAAAAAATAAAAATCCCATACACAGCTAGGGAGTTTGTTTCTTAAACCATAAAACAGGACAAACCTTCTGTAACATTAAAGTGACTTTCTTATCGGTTCTCTCTATAAAGAACATAGAAGTTAATTTCTTTGTTTTGTGATTCAGGAAACAATTAACCCTATTTCTCTAGGTTATATTTCAGTTGTAGTCGCACATAAGTTACTTGAGGAGAAGAACAGAACTGAGTGGTGATATAAAATGTGTTTTTCTTTGAAAGGCCTTTCAAGAACAAATTGGAATATATTTTTCATTAACGAGCTCAGTTGTCTATACCAATTGCAACTTCTCTACATCTTGAAATCAAATAAGAGAGATTTCTTTACTCAGTTCATAGTTAAGGCTAATGGCACCTTTCAAATGACTTTACTTAAGGAGTTCCCTTAGGATCACAGGAAACACGTGGTCTCCTCATTTCAGAATAAAGGTGGGTGGTATTAAAAGAGCCCACAATCCTTCCTCACTTCGGTGGTTTACCAGAGCTTAGACAGGTTCCTGAGGCATATGCTTTGTCACACAACTTTAATGCCGGAAGAGACCTAAACCTTCTAAAGATTTACGATAAAAGCCAGGTATAGCATTGGTATTATCTATGGAAAAACAGAAAGCAAAATTGCTGTAAAGGCTTCAGGAAAAATAAGTGAGACTCATGTGACTTTATTTCGGTCTCAGACCCCAAGTAATTCCCTGCTGTCGCTGTTGTTTGTTATATTCTCTCTGCTGTTTACCTGTGATCAGCTGTTACCCAGCCCTCACCCCACAAAGCTCTCCAGCTGCAGAGGCCTTCATCTCCAGCTAGGACATCATAGACTTCAACCTCTGCTTTGTGTCATGTCACTGTTCAGATGGAAACTAGTTCTTCCACCACTGAAAATTTTGTCGTTGCTGTCGGTATGCTCCCTGCTGCCAAGAGGTTTATTCTTTGAGCTGTATGAGAAATGAGGATTATGACAAAAAGCAGTTAGGGAAAATAAGATGTATGGTCCAATTTCAGTAAAAGAGCCAGGGAGTTGTCATTAATCCTTATTTGGTTTCTTGTTATGTAGCCCATTATATACACATGTGGCGCTATTTCATTTCTTTTTCTTTCTTCACTAAGAAGAAACAGGCTGACTTCTTGGCTTCATGCTCCTCTCG